CCTGCAGGGAATCCAAGAGGGTAAAGTGCTTGTACTCAAAGAGAAGCAGAGAGGAGGAGAGCCTTTTTATTTCTTTATAAAGGGCTCAGGGGAACAGTTCTGCTCACTGGAATTATCAGCTCCGGTTCCCCTGCTCCTTCCCTTCCGCGAACGAGGCAAGGGCAAGACAGGCTAGCAGCGCGCGATTGTATCGGCCCGGCAGGAAAATCAACGAGGCTGCTAAGCCTCTCTAAGACAAAGCATAAGCGAGCAGAAGATGTCGTTGGGGTTGAGCAGCTGCAACTAAAGGTGTTCTGAAACGCTTTCAAGAGAACTGACGAGCTGTGAGGTAACAGCAGTTTTAATTTTACGTTTGTGCCTGAAGGGACGGAAGCACGTTGGACCCCCGTAATCCCCCAGCCGCGCTCCTTCATTTCTGCCCTCGGCACGGGGAAAGATCAGAGCGGCATCGCTTCCTGCGTGGCACCAAAGCCGGCCCCGGGAAGCTTGCAGGCTGCTCACACCGGCGCACCTAGGGCCCGCGTGTACTGATTTATATCTAGAGCAGCTACCTACTGTTTTTCTTTTTTTAAAAAATAAACAGTTATTTCCCAGCATCAGCAAATGGAAGTGTGTCTCACCCCTTCCTTCCAGGACTTTACATTCCTTGCAAAGCGCTGCCGATGCCGGCTGATCCACCACTGAGGCGTTTACTCTCTGCTCAAAGACCTCCAAGTTACCAGATGACATCTCAACCGCCTCCTACCACCCTCCTCCCACTTGTTAACCTTTTCCAACTTCAAACTAGGTTCACTTTGCATAACCCACAACAGGAGTGGCTGCCCACCTCCTAAACGTCCGGCTGGTGCAGCCTGTTGCACAGGCGAGCGAATGGCTACATACAACATCCTGCAGTCCACATACACCAGGGCAACAAATCTGCCACAGCAAACCCACTCTTCTACCCAGTATAGCGTTCCAAGGGCTTTACTAAGATATTTCAAAAAAAGAGTGGCTATCCATCTCTCTCGCTTTCTCATAGCTATCTGCACCCCTTTCATCACCCCACAATTCCTCTTTTTCTGAGGCAGCAAAGATTTGATTTCTACACAAGAGCATAAATTTGCTGACTGTTTACATCCATTTGGGCCAACAAGGACAGCAGGATTATGCAGAACTGACTCAGCCTGCTGCACTTCCCCAGAGCAACAATGGGGTGGTGAGATGATCAAAGTTCAAGATACAAGAAGTAGCCTCTTCCTGACCACCAAAGCACCCTGCAGCGCAGAGCAGCCCCATGCTTACAAGCCACTACCCCAAACTGACCAATATCAGACGCACGGCAAAGGCTCAGAGCAGTAAGAACGCTCACAGAGAATTTCAGAAGTTAAGCACTTATTACAGCACCTATGAAACAGCTGTTAGAGACCAGCACCTATGCAGTCGTGCCCCCACCTTGAAACTGCACACGCACCAGGCCCACCACAACCAGGCACCTGATCAGAAGGCGAAAGGAGGAGAGCAGATGGGAACAGCCCTCAAAATCCAAGCTCCAGCGCTGCAACTTCTCAAAAAGCCCCACCAGCACCGCACAGGGCAGGCGCTCCTGTTTTCCATATCACTTCCACCACGGAGGAGAGAGAAATCGGGCAACGCTGGGGGTGGAAGGGGAGGGGTAGGAGGAGAGACAGACAAGGAGAAAACAATAGCTCAGGAATTCACAAGCAGTTCTGCAGGGCTTTTAAGGGGAAAAAAAAAAAACCACACACACACACACACAACTTCTCTGCACAGCCACTCAGCCAGGGACACAAAGGTCTTGGAGAGCTCCTTCATTGGGTCATGAACTTTCACAAGCCCATTAAGAAGCCTGTTTCAAAAACAGCACTGAGGAAATTCCCAAGGAAAAGTAAATCAATGCAAGAGCGAGCATAGCTGAGGAGTGCCAAAATTGCCGCCGCTCACATTTCACCTAAGCACACGGCTAGCCCTTCACACGCATGGCTGTTCCACCTGGAAGCCGACCAAACGGCCTAACCACCCACCGGCCCCGCGTCTAACCCGCCCCAGCTCCTGCCTCGCGCTCGCAGCCCCGGAGCGGGACTGCTCCTGATTTACAGCACAAGCGGGGTCGGCAACCGAGGGGAGCTCTCCCCTCTCGCCCCGACGTGTGCGCTGCAGAGCTTTCCCAGACGGCCGAGCCGGGCCCCCTTCCCCATCGCAAGCCCTGCTTAGGCATCACTTACAGCTCCCTAACATTTCAGCGACTTCCACTCACTCCTCCCAGCCACTTTGGGAGAGACGTTTGTTGCCTTCTTGCTTCTCTCGCCATGTCTCACAACGCGTGGTATAAACTTTAAGAGGCAATGACCTCATCCTAGCTGGGAAGAGGGAGGCGGGGGAATTGGCTACTTGCCACCTTCTCATTTTTCACATTTAAAAAAATAATTTATGAGAGAAAGCGTATTTTATTAGCTTAAAAAAAAAAATTGCATTAGAAGAAGCAGGCCTGCCTTCCAGCGCCTCGCTTGTACAACTCCAGCAGCTCCGCTGACAGCGTCGCAGCTTCAAAACTGCCCGCTTACCTGTGGCCCCATAAAGCAGGACCTGCAGAAATCGCAGACCACAGCTCCACCACGCTCCTTGGCTGCTCTAGCACATCCCCACACCCCTCTACGAGACGTCGAGCTCAACGCAGCACCAAAAACGCCTCCGGGCACCCTACCAGCTAGCCCCAGGGAACATCACCAGTCTGCAGACAATTCAGAAAATGCCTGGCTATAGCGCAACTATCTTGTTTTCTCATATTTGTTAAGGTAGACTTCTCCTGAAAGCACAGAAAGGACTTCTAACTCTAATTCGTAATTACTCCAAAATGGCAATTACATATATAAGCCATAGCTGGTGACTGCGACTTCCGTGCAGATACCTGGGAGCAGGCCACCAGACACGGGCTCTGTGGTGAGCAGCAACTGCAGAGCACGTTATTAATTTTGCCCAGACATGTAATGCACTGTATTTCTGAACACACACAGAGCATGCGTGTGCAGCAGTCTGCAGACACGGGACACACAAATTTTGTATACTCACATTTTATATACTCATATTACTTATGTTATAGATTCACACATACATTACTCCTTACTCTTAAGAACAGAACATACAGTTCATCTTGGCACAAATCCCAGAGGAAGAAAAAACCTCGTAGTAACAAATATAACTCAAGTTTAATCCAACAGCATCTGTGGTAAGAGTCAGAACAGTATTATGCATCATTAAATTATTGAATTATTCTGAATAACCCACCCATGTGCATCTCTGATAACGTGAGTCAAGTCTGTTATTTCAAGGGACATTTCTTGACTTGAAGCGTTCCACGACTCTGAAATTCGTGCTCTAACTACTGAACACATGCAGCAACTGCAGGAAACGCTGTGGGGAAAAAGCACTTCATCCCCATAGCGTGCGTTGGGCAACCCCTCGTGCGACTCAGTGCCACAGTTTCTCTGCATTCCTGGTTAGGGTCCAAACACGTCAATATAAGACTGTAACTGGACCTAAATACTGCATTAGCTGTTGAATTGCATATGCCGGTAAACAGACTGCTCCGCTCTATAAAGCGGACTGTACTACAGCAGCGTGGATATTTAATCTTTACACACCATACCACACTGACAAAGTCAGAGGCAACAGATGAGCACGGACTGAGAACACAACCCCATTGTGGGTCACCATGCAATGAACAACAACATTAATAAATACATCTTTTTTAAAGTTACAGCACACTACAGCTTCCATACACCTTTCCAACTGCTACAGCAAGTTTTCAGCACATCAAAAAGCATTCTTCTTTGGATCCTCTCCAAAAAAAAACAGGTTTTGTCCACTCCTATGAGTTTTACACCCAATGTCAAAGTCAGAGTCATAACGTTATTCTCATTTACTGAAGGAGAAACCAACACAACAGAACGAGGAACAGTTCACCCCAAGTCTCATGGCACCCATGCTGACTCAGCCCAGAGCTCCCCAGATCCTGCATATCGGACCTCTCACTCAGCAACGGGTTTCCAACAACACAACCACGATTCAGTAATCCCTCTTGGGCAAGGAATTCCCACCACGCCAGCAACACCCCTTCCAAAGACTACATTCCCGGGATCTTTTGTAAAACCGTCTGATCTCCAAGTTTTGCGAGCAAAGTTTACCAGCACTAACTCCCTTTATGCAAAAGCCAGCACAAAAACAGCAGCTGCAAACTCCCACCACCCTGACCCAAGTCAAAATACAGCGCGTGCTGCTTTTCAGGCAAACCCAAATTACAGCATCATCTGCTGACTGTTTCAGGGATGAACAAACCCACATTAATTACAGGCTAACTTTGCAATTCACCTCTCAAGAGCGCAAGACTTCAGCAGAACTGCTTTGATCACACTGACAAATCCGTCTTCGGCCGACGGAGCAACGTGCAAGACCGGGACCTTCAGCAAAAACTTTTTCTCCCCTTTCTTTGCCGCTGCCCTCCCCCTTTCTCTCCTCTCAGAAAATAAATGCTCCAAGCCAACAAGGTTCGGAGGGATAAAATCGCCTCTGAAAGCGGTGGAGACCCACAAAACCTTGCATTTTATCTTCCTCAGCAAATGCTGTCCACTTCTGAGCAACCGCAGAAGTGCATTCGCAGCCTCCGACACTGAACACTGTTTCTATGTCGCGGGGCCAAGTCCCAGTTTTTCAAAGGAACTTCTTTTCTGCTGTGGCCTAGTTTAGCTCTCCCGACAAAACGCAACCGAAACAAAAGCCGCCCGGCCAGCCCGGGGGCACTTACCTAGCAGCACTCGTGCATCACCTACGCAAGCTCCGGCATCTTCAGCAGCAACTGTCTCAACTTCAAAATAAATAAATAAAGGAGGCCACACAGTCTTAAAACCAAGCTGGAAATGAAATGGAAAGCCTGTAATTATTTCTCAATGCTCCTGCCAGTCTCAGCCTATAAACACAGTGGATTACATAAGTCCACCCCTCCTGTTTTGAAGCCAAAAGTATGAGCTTTTCCTCCAGCTCCAGCAGCAAGTAATAATTCCTTGCAGCCATGGCAACGCTGGCCGGCTTCCAGCAGACAATGGCTGAGTTGAAATACTGCTAGGCCTTTTTATAGCTGAGCTCTGAAAACCTCTAAAATATTAGCTATCTTATGGCTAACCCGACCTGACCACCTCTCCCGTTTAACCGTTTCTTTCCTACGCTAGCACACGGCCCCGCGCGCGCGGATGCCGTGGCAGCGACCGAGAGCGGTACCCGCGTTTTGGGGTTGGCTAGCGGTGCTGGTTCAAGGGACTCTTCCTCTTCCACTGGATCGCACTGTGTTTTTGCACGTCGGGAGTGTTTCCGTTTTAATGGATTTGCTGACTTCTTCCCACCATGAACCGCAACCCCAGCCAGAAGGGGCTGCAGCACAGCATCCGCAGCAACTGCCACAGACCGTCTGCGACGTTTGGGTTTTTCCCGCTTTATTTCAGTCTGTTACTCAGCAGGTATGTTTTCTCTGCTACATTTGCTCCAGCAAGCTACATATGACGTACTCCTCTCAAGTTAGCCTAGCTCAAGAGAAAAAAAAAGACAGCAAAATAATACTTGCGCTTGCAACACTGGCGTTACCGTCACATGAGAACAGTGCTAACGCTTGTGAGGCTCAGTGTTGGATTCCCAGAGCTGCAGGGAAGCAAGACGCCTTACAAGTCCTTTCTCAGTGAGCTCTGGAGAACCCGTCTGTCCCTTCTGGGCTCGTTCAGAGAGTTGCAGGGAAGTCTTGGAGAACCAGCTGCATTTGAGACACCCTGTGCCCATACGACAGCACAAAACGTCCTGCTCCTGCAAAGCCTGGGCTCATTCTGCAATTAAATTAAGTTAGAAGCACTAATGCATCCCCAGTGAGCCCGAGGACCAGAGGAAGCCTGGGATGAAGGAAAAGACATTCGAGACATCATTCAAGTCAATGCTATAGCAAAGACTGCTGAAGTTAAGGAGCCTAATGCATTAAATTCCTACCAAAACAGTGGCTCCCAAGATCACGTGCAGTTAGTTTTGCCCTCTATAAGCACACTACGCTGCCCAGGATGTCTCCGCTACTTCCAAGCTTTGACAGAGGACATAACCCTTTCGCCTGAAGGACGGCATGTCCATCACACCAACCCCACTTACTCCTCCAAGCAAGAGGTCAGTGAGGCAATCAGCTGTGTACTGGCTCACTGCAGCTCTGAGTAAAATTCACCTCAAGGGCTGGGAGATCCTCTGCAATATGCCAAATTCTGCCAGTTCGCAAATAAGCAAAGGAAACAATAGAAACGTAAAAGAAAATTTAGAAGAGCAGAGCCAAGGCCACCACAAAAAAAAAAAAAAAAAAACAACCACACACAGTTAGCTCACTTCTGAGTTAGTGCTGGTAAACTCTGCACACATTGCCAGCATTCACGATCCAGTTGGGAGTCTGACAACTTCAGGGAAACCTGAAGGCCCTTGCTCTGCACTCAGCCGATGGCGACTCCACCACCAGCCTTTCAAAAGCACGCAGCTTGCTGCCTCTACGATCACAAGAAAAGGCTTGAACGCATGGCCCATGGGAGCCTTTAACACTCAAAAACCAGAATGCAAACAAAAAAGAACATTCCTTTCTAAATCTCATTAAGCTGGAGAGCATGATTATGATTTTTTTTAATGTGCAAAGGTGATAATATTGCTCGGCGCTCCAGTTCAATTAATTATTTTATGGGGACAAACGTACTAGGAAACACTAAATGCAAACCCTGAAGGTTCCTTACTACTGTGCCTCACAAGCTCAGGGCTTTGAGTCTTTGCTACAACGCTGCATTTCCTTATGCCAGAGAATCAGTTTAATCCTCACAACAACTACCCATGAAAAGAGTCAAGCAATTGTCTTCCACCTCTTAGCACAAACCAGGATGTGGCAAACACTGGCAGATGCTGGTTCTTATAGTAAAGTCTCCAAACTGGCCAGAAGTAGCAGTTGTTGCCTCAGATAATTAAATGCATGTTGTGCTACTGCAGAGCAGGCAAAGCCATACGCAGGGGAAAAGCCACAACTGACACAGACGTACCTTAGTCCTACAAGCTAAGAAGCAAAAGATTTTCCCATTAAACCTCTTAACGCTGCTCTGTCAGATGAGACCTCAGGGATACATGTCTGGCACACCTACATTTTTCTAGAGGAGAATAATTTAAAAAAAAAAAAAGCCAATTTTCTGGATTCCACCCCAGTAAGTGACAGGCCAGCAAACTACAGAGAAACAAAATCTAGAGACTTGTTTAAGAATGACGTCTAGCCCTGCTTTGCTGAATACCGCAGATGCGTAGCTAAATTTCATCCTCCGCTACTCTGGTGAAGTCTCAGTGGGTCTCAGGGACATCTTCCTAAGCAGATGCATTTGCTCCTGGTCTCCTATCCCTTGCTTCCCAGCCTCCTTCAAAACTTGCTATTATCAAGATGATGTCTAAGAGGATCCAGCTACAAAATACCCTCCACTCCCAGACCTATTTGGGGAAAACGCTGCCTCCTGGCTCTAACGCATCACATGCGTGCGCCTGCAAAGATGTTGGGCCTTCAAAGCAGCCATCAGGAATCACAGGAAAGAAAAAGAGCTGAGGTCAGAGCTAGTAACTCTGGAGAAGCTTTGCTATTCTCATGTAGACCAACCTTTCTTCCCAGGTCAAGCAACATCCCCAGGACAACCCCCAGACACAGATGTGGGAATAACAAGTTACAACTGCAAAACCCTGCTTAAACTTTAAAATGGCATCATGCTACATATGTTCTTCCAGCTTAAACCCTTAATTAAAGGGACTATTCTTTACAGCTCTGGAGTCGCTCCAACTCCCATTGTTAAATTTAAAATAAAATCCTGCAACGCCACAGCATCTGTAAGACATTAAAACATTCAATGCTGACTTATTTACTCAGCTTTAAGACCTTACTTAATGATTTTTCCTCTCAAAATCCAAATGTAAGGATTTAAAAAAATAATAACCAACAGCACCTCTTACAGGATGCTCCCCCCTCCTTCCTCCATCAGTGAAGCTTCTACCTTAATATCCATAACACTTAACAATTCAAAACCAATCAAAAACAGACTCCACCACGTACAACTTCCGGACGAACTGCAAGACCAAGGCACCTAAAATTCTGGGTGTCAGGAAGAAGCAGGCTCTGCAACCGTGGAAGCTAGCACAAATACGATCCATTCATGCTTAGGACAAAATAAAAAACAAGGTGGATCTGACAACAAGAAAATCACCGTAAGCACAAGAGAAAAAAAAAAAAAACTAGAAAGCCAATTCTGGTCTACAGTGTGTGGTAACACCGTAGAACCATAAGGCAGAAGCTTGTTGTTATAACCTCTGTTGTTCCAAGGCAGGGCTTTGTACTCCTCCTCCTCCTCTCTCTGGACAGAGTGCCATATGCAGTCATTTATAACCCTGCTAACTACCGCTTTCCTAATGGGGCTGATCCATTAGTTCAGGTAGCGCGAGCAGTCTGGCAAGCACACGTTCAGCCATGCCAAGGGATCCGGACATGATGACTTTCCTGATCGGACCTGGATAAGAGTTTGGGCTCAATGCCAGAACTTTGCAAAAATCAACGGGAGCTTCAATTCGCTTCACAGGGAGCAGGATTTCAATCCCAGTCTCCCGAACTATTGCCTGATAGTGGTCTCTAGAACGTGTGTTAGCAGGCCATAGACCTGCTCACAGACCTCTGGTTTTCCACAGAGCACATATAACATTAACGACTTTCCCAGTATTCTTCCTGTAAGCAGTCCCACAGCCACAGACATTTTGGGGTGGCAGGTGGCAAAGGAGAAAGCCCACAGAGACAGGGCTGCAGTTGTTCTTGAAGCAGTTGATGCCTCCTCCGTGACACAAAGGCATGCATGAAGGTGGCCTGGACCAAGAGGCAGCTTCCCAAAGCACACAACTCAAGCTGGGCAGCACCTGGGAACACAGCTGAAAGCCTGCAGCTGGAGTCTACCTCTGCTGTGACCAAGAGTGCCTCCTGTCCCAGAGAGGAGCTCGCCCTGGGAGGTGTACCAGGACAGGGAGCCAGCTCCCACCAGCAAACCAACAGCCAGCCTACACACCAGCGAACACCACACTTGCTTTCAGCTCCACTCGGGTGATAAGATGTTATCTGCGTTATGGCCGCTTAACAGTAATATAGAGATCTGAATAAATATTTTTAAATTCTTGGGCTTTTCTATCAACAAAGGAGGAGAGGTGTTTGAAAAAAAAAAAAAAAAAAAAAAAAAAAAAAAAGCCCAGTAAGTTATCAAGCCATTCCCATACCTTATTAAACTGTTCGGGCACGCATGCTTTAAAATTGATAAAATAAAAATAATTTAAAAAAAACACAGAAACAAAAATCTGACAATTAATAGAAGGAAATTTGTTTGATCAGCTCTCCCTGCCACCTGCCAAGTAATTCTGTGGCCACAGCAGATCACTGAACACACACAGACCACGTAGCTCCATCCTCCCACCCAAAGATACCACCATTGCACCCACAGCTGCGTCGTCCCTGCTAAACCATCCCCTTGCTCC